TTCAGAAGTCAGCCAGAATCTTGATTTCTACACAAAACTAGGGTTTCTTCCCTGGTCCTTTTCCTTCCACGGTTCTCTAGTCGCTCTGAGTTCCCCAGGCTCCTTCTCCTGGCTGGCTCCTGTGGTGAGAGAGTACGTGTTTTTCTATCCGAGTTCTTACCTGCTGCTGTGACTGGGTTTGACATCAGGGCAGAGCTGTAAAACAAACACAGAGGCAGATAAGGGGCTTGCTTTTTTGTTGCTTATGTGCCCCAGCTTTTGATTCCCCTCCAAAGTCTGTTTGCTTCGTTCAATCTCCACAGCCCTCAGGTAGCGTTGTCTGTAATTTTTATTTTTTTAATTTTGTCTAGTGGAAAGGGGAGGTGTACTGGTGGTATTGGTATGTTGTGTAGATTTTAAAGAGAAAAAAAAATGTGTTTGTCAGGATCTCATTCCTCCACATCAGAAGCAGAAGTCTCCTGCCAATTCTTTGTAGTTGGTATTTTTATTAAGATGGTCCTATGCACACACAGCTGTCAGAGGTTCCCTGGACTCTTTTTCCAGTTTTCCCTGATGGTAAAATTGAAACACTGTAGCTTGGAATCACAAGCAAGAAATTGCTACAGTCTCCTAATCTCATTCAGATTTCCCATTTTATTTATACTCATTTGTGCACCTGTGTGTGTATGTGTGTGAGATTCAATTCCATACAGTTTTTGCACATGTGTAGGTTTGTGTGTCTGCATTCACAGCCTTCTAGCTGTACTTTGAAAGCTGTAGGAATTTGACAGTTAGAAAGGACATGGAGGCCCGTGTTGTGGCATAGCTGGTAAAGTCGCCTCTTGAGACACCAGCTTCACATATAGGCGCTAGTTCGAGACCTGGCTGCTCCACTTCCGATCCAGCTGCCTGCCAATGACCTGGGAAAAACAGCCAAAGATGGCCCAACTACTTGGGCCTCTACACCCTCATGGAAGACTTGGAAGAAGCTCCTGGCTCCTGGCTTCAGCCTGGCCCAGCTCTGGCTGTCATAGCCATCTGGGGAGTGAACCAGTGGATGGAAGATATCTCTCTCTCTGTCACTCTTTCACATAAATAAATAAATCTTAAAAAAAAAAAAAAAAAAAAGAAGAGAAAGTACTCAAAGGCTCTGGCCATGTTCCCCAATAAAGATGATGAGATATTTTAAAGTAGTTAGAACAATGGCATTTACTGTGCAAACATTCATTGTTTCTGAAGGGTGTCCCTTTGCAGGTTGTAGACTTCCTTGAGTGCAAGGATCACCTCTCACCGCAGCCCTGCCCATTGCTCACTTCAGGACTTGGTGCAGATGTTTAACTTGTGTTTAAAATGCAAACAAATGGAACGGAAAAGTAGAAACATCTTAGATGTTTTCCTTGCCTTTTAAACTGAGGCTGGTAATTTCCAATGCTTAGATCATGATTATATTTACTTTAAAAATATGGCATATGAAAGTATTTTATAGATGGTTGATCTTTTGAATGTGGTGTTGCTGCCTTTGATTTAAAAAAAAAAAAGGAATTAGGTGAGCATTTCCTGGTAGAGATGATCATCAAAGCTGGAAAGTAAGTATTTCCTTTTAACTTAGTATTTGTAGGTGAGAGAGTATAGTATTTGTAGGAGAAAACGAGCAAGCAAGAGAGAGGGAGGGAGGGAGGGAGAGAGAGAGAGAGAGAGAGAGAAAGGAAGACTTACTTCTGTTAGAGCCAGCATTTAAAAAAAAATTCAGCTTTTCTCTAATGGGCCATAGCAGGAATTGATAAAACTAGCAGCAGGGTCCCAGGTTTTATTCGGTATGTAGTATATTTTCTGGGGAAAAAATAATGCTACAGTTGTTTCACACGTTATTTGGAGAAAAAGTGAAATATCTGTATTTACATATAATTAATGTCTCTCAGTTTGGATTTGACATTAACTTTCTGCCTACTGCCACACTTTTCTGAACCTTGGACATGGACTCTCTGCACTGCATAAGATGAGAGGAGAATGCCTAGGGAGGCATGGCTGGAGCCTATAAGCATGCTCTTTGAGGCCAGCTTTGAAGTCATGGGAACAATGGAAATTAAATAAATAGCTTTTTATATTGGAATGGTCAGTCACGTACCCTCTGATTTCCAAATGACCCTGAGAAGATGTGGATATTCCAGGGACTCACAGCCTTTTTGGAAAAAGATAGTAGAAGTACTTACTAGTGTATTTTAGATGAATTATTTATCATGCTTTCCATCCGTGCATTCCTCATCCATCCCTTTTATCTATTTGTGTGTTCATCCATCCATCCAGTATTCATGAATTGTCCCCAGTGTGCCACGCATGAAACAAAAACATTATATGACACAGTAACTGTTCAGGGGATTAAAGCAGTTTATTGGGCATGTATGCCAAGGGTTCATGTGAACTTTGGGAACTTCAACTTTAGACTGAATCAGTTTCCCAGGTACATTGGCAGGGAGCTGGATTGGAAGTGGAGCCACACCTTAACCTGCTGTGCCACAGTGCTGGCCTTGAGCCTTGCTTTAAAAATCTCTTTACAGAATATTAGATTTAGTTGATAGTTTCAGTGATGAAAACTTGATAGGAAGATGCTAATGCATTTGTTTTTGAGACTTAAAAAAACCAGTTCTTAAAATGTGGTTTGAAGCTTCAAGAGAAAGCACAGGAGGTATTAAGTGTGTTTTTTTGGAATTGCTTGGGTAAGTGACTGGAGGGGGAGAGCAAAGGTGAGGAAGTTGCTACTGAAGAGATCCCCCTACTGCCTGCCCACACGTTGTTGTGGAGCACCAGAGAAGGCCAACTTGTGAGCGTTTCCAGCCTTCACTTGTCAGCAGCTTTCAAAACCGTGGCAGCAACATGAAAAATATATTTCCTGAAGTAGACCAGTTGATCAAATTTCTTGACCCCTCCAGTGCATGCCTAGGCATTGTCATGGGGTGTGAACTCTTCAGAAGCAGCAGCTTGTGCTGGATCAGGTTGCCATAAGGCTGATGATGACAAAGTCCAAAAGGGAATTTGAACGTAGTGCGTCAGAAGTTGTGAGAATGGGGAAGATAAGGGAGAGGTGGGGAGAAGGTCAATTTGGAAGGACATAGATTGGAAGAGAGGATTTTGTCCTTTACACCAAATTAATTGTGCCTGTTTGCCTTATTTTTCACTTTTGCTGCATCTCATGTCTTTTCATACACTTCAGTCTACCTTATGATGAAAAGACAGATAACCACACAGCTGGACACCGTGCCAGGGAGACAAGCTCTAGACGCTCCCCTGTGCTCAGTGCTCATTCAGTTTCATTTTCCCCTCATCATAGCCACAGCTGTACCTCTGTGACTGTTGTTTGTAGTGAACACCCAAGGTCTCTAGGAAAAGGTTATGCTCCTTGTCAATAAGGTTGACGTGTCTCAGAAAACTTTAATTGAAAGAATTGAGGTGTGTTCAGCCTAGTTTTTGGGGTGCTTGTATCCCAAGATGCAGTTCCTGGGTTTCTGTAAGCAGCCCCACTCTGATGCAGTCTGCCAGAGGCAGCACTGATGCTTCCAGGAATTGGGTTCCTGCCACTCATGTGGCAGGCCTGGGATGAGTTGTCAGCTGCTGGCTTTGGCCTCAGCCTAGTCCCGGCCATTGCAGGCATTTGGGGAGTGAACCAGTAGATGGGTGTTCTCTAACTTTTTGTTTCTCAAGTAGATAAAAATTAAAAAAAAAAAAAAAGAATTGAGAATGCAGAAGGTTTGGAGATACTCCAGTTTGTGGAAGATTTATGTATTGGAAGAGAGTGAATATTCTTTCTACCCAACTTTGTCCTGGAGAGCTCAGTATGATAGGTGTTACATCACCTTTTCTGTGTAAATGGTTTAAGTTTGAATATGTACAGTATCCATTTTTCTTTTGAATAAATTGCTTCACTTATACTTGAAATAGAAACCAGAAGAATGTCAGTACTATGTATGCAAACTTTGTTAGTGCTGCTTACAAAAAGGGCTTCTATGTCTACTGTACTTTAATCTCATTGGTTATTATAAAGTTTCACCTAAGATCTACTTGTGATCTGTTAGGTATGTTTACTAGTTGTTGCACTTGGCCATCACTGGATTAACTTGGGTAATACTTTCCTGTAATATTAAATTACTTCATATTAGTAGGGAATGTCAGATGTTACCACTGAAAGTGATTACTTACAGCACTTTATTTCTTGAGCATTTAGCCTAAGACTTGAAGTTGTAAATGTATTTCTTTTTAATACTGTTTTGTTAGAGGTGTTACCATACCTTTGGGCCCCACACATTCCACCTGCTCTCCTTCAATGATTCAATCACACATCAAATAAGACCAGTTATGAAGCTCAATCTTCCCACTCTTCTTGACATAGGCATTGGCTTAAGAAACAGTCCTACTCGTGCTTGTAAACACTCCAGACTTTTAAGAATGTCTGGGATGTCATGCTGTTTGACACCCGTCATTGCTCCCTATGAGAAAAAAAAAAATAAATGCAAGACAGAATTTTGAGAGGCTGAAAGGGATTGGGGCTGAATACAGAACACTGAGTATAGACAAGAGTGCTAAGTTTTTGACTAGCAGTGATCAGAAGTCCTGTTTCTGCTCATTGTCAAAATATGACATGACTATTGGACTGTGTTAGTGTGAAGCTTACGTGTTACATAATTTAAAATCAGTTTGTCTTATTTACATATCTACTTATACCCGTATAGTTTCATGTGCCAGTCTCTCTGCGTCTCGTTAGAACTTGAGGATCAGGAGGTTTGAATGCTTTAAAGGACTTCTTTTTTTAATGTTACTGCCAGGCGACTGAAGGAGAGAAAAAGTGGAGTCTACTTCATGGTTACCCATGTGGCTTTTGACAATGTACACTCATAAAACCCCACCAGCACTTTGCTGGGCCACTGAGTGAGGTGTAACTGGTGGCATTAAGAACAGCTACAGACTGAATAACTTCTGACATTTTTCTTGTTTTTTGTTTTGTTTTGTTTTGTTTTGTTTCTGATTTTTAGATTTGTAGCCAAACCATGTGCCATTGCCCTCAACATTCAGGCCAATGGACCACAGATTGCGCAGCCGAATGCCATTCTGGAAAAGGTCTTCACTGCGATTACAAAGGTACGATGTCCCTCCCCAAGGCGCGGGTTCTCAGCGCGCTGTCATCTCATTCCTTCACTCTCGCATTTGGAGACAGTGCCCAGTCTCATGCTGCAGAGCCTGTTCTCTGTGGGCATTGCGCTTAAACCCACACTGCAGAAGCTGAACAGGGGTGGGCGTGTATGGAGTCCTTTCCCAAGTTGATTTTAGATGCTTGTCTGTGACGAACAGTCTTGATTAGGTGGTGATTAGGCTCATTCTGTGCCTCTCTGATTCTCGAGTGACATGGAGCAGTGCTGAAAAGGGTTGGGTGGGACTTTGTGTCAGTTACTGGGTGGAATCTGAGAATATGATTTATGTATGACGAAAAGAGGAACTTATTTGCTTATACCGTTGTCCATATACTCGAGCAGTTGCGGTAAATAGACAAATGTGCACGACACAAAGGCATAGTTGAAGAGGAAAAGAGTTGCAGTGTGGAGGAATGTTGGACGAGGCCCAGGGTGGGTCTCAGGAAGAGATAGGTTCACTGTTGAGAATGAAAAGGAGATATACTCACTCTGGTAGCAGTTAAAAGTCGAGACCAGGCCAAGGAAGAGAGCCTGCCCCTGCCCCTGCCCCGTCCTCCACAGGACAAAAAGAGGAGAAAGATAGAAGTTCTCAATCCAAGATCTTAAGAAAACAAAGCAAATCGCATAGTCCATGTGTCTTGCTCTGAGTCTTCTGTACCTCTTGCCTACCTTATTTTCCTTTTGCCTGCACAGGAAATGAGAACAGGAGAAATGAGGCAGACTGAGAGAGGTACCATGGGGCCATGTATTGAAAGATTCATGTTCCTCTTTTGTTTTCCTGGGAGAATCACTCAGGCTTCTCAGGTGTAGTTTGAATGTGTTAAGCAAATTCTGTTCCTCTTTTGGTACTTGTATTGCTAGCTGTCCGTACTGTTTGTCTCTCTCGTATCACAACTACTCATTGAAATATCCGAACATTTATTTTATAGTCTTCCCTTCTGCCCAATTTTTTTTAGGGTTTTCTCATCTTCCTGTTTTTTATTTGTTTAAGATTTGTTTATTTGAGAGGCAGAGGCAAAGAGACAGCGAGAGACAGAGAGAGACAGAGAGAGAGAGATCTTCTATCCATTGGTTCACTCCCCAGATGACTGCAGTGGCTGGAACTGCACTGATCCGAAGCCAGGAGCCAGGAGCTTCTTCCAGGTCTCCCACACGGTTGCAGAGGCCCAAGGACTTGAGCCATCTTCCACTGCTTTCCTGGGCAACAGCAGAGAGCTGGATTGGAAGTGGAGCAGCCAGGACTGGAACCAGCGCCCATATGGGATGCCGGCACTGCAGGTGGCAGCTTTACCCCTGCTATGCCACAGCACTGGTCCTTCCCCTCTTCCTTTTACAAGTGATGTTGTTCCTGGGAAAGTATAAGAAAGCACCAGGGGCCAATGCTGTGGCTTACTAGGCTAATCCTCTGCCTGCAGCACCGGTACCCCAGGTTCTAGTCCCGGTCGGGGTGCTGGATTCCATCCCGGTTGCTCCTCTTCCAGTCCAGCTCTCTGCTGTGGCCTGGGAAGGCAGTGGAGGATGGACCCTGCACCCGCATGGGAGACCAGGAGGAAGCACCTGGCTTCTGGCTTCGGATCGGCGCAGTGTGCCGGCCGTGGTGGCCATTTGGGGGGTGAACCAATGGAAAAAGGAAGACCTTTGTCTCTCTCTCTCTCTCTCTCTCACTAACTCTGCCTGTCCCATAGAAAAGAAACGAAAATAACAACAAACCTCCAGGTTCCCTTTTGTATCTGCTAGGAAGAAGAGCAGAATGAATTATGAATTTTAGGACATGCTCTTTTGGTGGTTTCCTTGCTGGTTTAATATGGCCAAGTTTTACCCTAAAGGGACATATATCCTGTGGTATTTAAAGGAAGAAAATATTAAGAAAAAAACCTGATTATCAGGTAGTATATCAATGTACTGCAACAGAAAACTTCTCCTCTTAAAAAAACAAATATCAGGTCATGTTTAATGTGATTACAACACATTTGTATTATCTTTGTAACTGCTTTCAGCACACCCTATTCTAAATGAATAATGAAATGAGTTTTCAAGCCTCAATTTGATGCCTCCCTCTAGAAGTTCTGCAGTGAACATTTTAACTCCCTCGCCTTATGTTTGTGTTGGTTACAGGAGAGGTTCCCTCCACAAAGATAATGAAAAGGTTTGCAGTTAGGTTGACTTCTTTGAAGATTCTTTGCTTCTAAGCTGATTTTAATGATCATGTGCTTTTGGTTTCCAAGGTGATTCCTTTGCAAGTTTTTACATGATTGAAACAGAAGCCTCATGTTTTAAATATAAATGCAGCAAAAGTTGGAACCATTTTCAACTTGTGTTCTTTGAAGTTCTCCAGTCTTATTTGTGACAGGAAAATGTGACAGATCAATTGACCAGAATGGGAAGAGTCGGAGTGGAGCGCTCCAACAGCGGGGCAGGGTGCGTTTCAGTGGTCATCCAGCAGGCTGGCCTTGGCCGTGGCTGAGGGACCTTTGAAGAAGGACATGGTTATCTTCTTCCCCTCAAAAAAAAAAAGCATAAAATCCACATTTAGGACCAGCTAGCCCCACTGTGTGTAGAGCCATACGCAGAGTGAAGATGTAGGACCCTTGTTCAAAAAGCTTGAGAAAGGTGCCATCGAAGGGACAAAAATATGAACCTTTTCCTTCCTTCCTTCCAGTGTCTTCCCCTCCCCCCCCCCCAGTCAAGGTGCTTTTTACTTGCTGTGAGGTGTCATGCTCCCTCAGGCATGGGAGACACTCATGGGACAAGTACATCCCCATGCAGGGGCCTGGGGCCGACTTCTGTTGCTCAGCATAAATACAGCCCACCTGCTGCTGGGTTCCTTTTTTCTCCAGCCACTGGCTAATACACTGCCCTGGACAACCAGGTAGAGAAGTTGAGGCAGACCTCTCTCCTTTCTGTAAGCCCACTGGTCCAACCCGTGGTGGCCAGCTGTTCTCCAAATGCATTGCAACTTTGTGCCAGGATCAAGGGCGGGCAAGAGTTCACTCTATGGAGTCACTCCCAAACAATTGGGTGACCTCCTCTATGGAACTTGCGGGAGTACAAATCCCGCCTTACCACTTCCCTTGCTTGTGCTCATTCCCATGCTGGGGGCTGAAGGTAGCAGCAGTCACCAGGAAAGGGAGAGAGAGGAGCCAGGTGGATGCTGCGATAGAAAAAGTACAACCAAAGACTGGGGGAGGTGAAGGGCTCAGATGTGGGCCAAGCTGCAAGTCCTGGCGTGTGCTGCACTGCTCAGTTGGACTTTATTTATAAAACACAAAGTACATGATAAAATTAGGAAAATTTTCAAGATAGCCACAGAGCTTTGTGAGTCCTTCTGAGTGAGGGGCTCCCTGGGACTGCACTGCCCATAGCCAATAAGAAGATAGGAAATGCGAGTCTGTAGAGTTCCAGAAAAGTGCAAAAACCATCCCAGAAAAGAAGACAAAATTTGAAGGAATACAAGAAATATCAGACGTTACGGAAAACTTAGCAAAGAACACAGATGATAGAAGTAATAAAGTGGAGTTACATGAACCAAACAAGAAATGACATAAAAATTTAGATACACAGGGGCTAGTATTGTGGTGTAGTGGATAAAGTGACAACCTGCGATGCCGGCAGGCGTGTGGCTGCTCTGCTTTCAATCCAGCTGTCTGATGGTGGCCTAGGAAAAGCAGCAGAGGATGTCCTAAGTGTTTGGGGCCCTGCCACCCACATGGGAGACCAGGATGAAGCCCCTGGCTCCTAGCTTTGGCCTGGCCCAGCCCTGGCCATTGTAGGCACTTGGGAATTGAACCAATGGATAGAATATCAATCCTTTTCTCTCTCTCTCTCTCTCCCCCCCACCCACCAACGTCTCCTCCCCCTTCCCTCTCCTCCTACCTCCCTCTCCCTCTCCCTCTCCCTCTCTGGATTTCAAATGAATAAATAAATCTTTAAAAGAAAAACATTTGGATGCTCAAGGCAAGCAGATCCAGGAACTCTATAATTGGACTCCCTTAAGGGAAAATGAAATAATGAACAAATATTGGAAGATATTATTGAGGAAATTTCCCAAAAATAAATGGAGTTTTATTTTGATGTTAATAGAAACCTAGTGAAAAATGATCTGGAACATTGAACACTCAGCTTTATGTTATTAAAGTTATTAAGAATGGTAAATAAAAAAAATCATTTTTGGAGCAGCCAAGCAGGAAACCGAATGACTTTACATCACATGACTTCAGGCTTTTACTTTAGCAGAATTTTCAGTATTCCCAAGGAGAGTGAGAACTGAATTTATATCTAGCCCAATTGTTTCTACTGTGTAATGGCTATACACATGTGAATATGAAAAAATTTAGGGCAATTGTTCCACAAGTCTTCCTTGAGGAAACTATGAAATCAGTCATTTCAGCCATCCTGGAGATGATTAGGCATGCTTGTGAGTGTTGGCTATCTTTCTAAACTGTATATCTAAGGCAGTGTGAAGTATGCAGATTGGTGACAGAACAGAACATTGAGATTTTATGTCCTCGCAGTGTATGAAAGCTGCAGCCAAGAAATAACTAGGGGGACAGGGATGAAGCTGGGAGGAACCAAAGTTCTCTGATTGCATAATCTCTAATGGTTGGGAGTCGCAGCTATCATTTAAAGCTGATAAACCGAGGAGGAGAGTAAATATGTTTAATAGTACAAGAGTAAATGGTGAGAAAGATAATATTATTGACTAGTGTTGGGTGGTGGAAGAGAAGGAAGGAAGAAAGAGGAAGTCATGTTACCTTTAAATAATGCTCATACAGAATTATTAGCTATGGAAAAGAAACAGAATATTATACGGATCACCACCAGAGCAAAAATTACATACTACAGGGAGGAAAATGAAAACCACTAGGCACATGTTTCTTCAAATCATCAAAACAGAAAGTAGAGTATAATTAGAAAACTATACAAAATTTATCAATCTTATCAATACATACA